CATTGCCCCCCTCACCCCCCATGCAGCGAGTGCCGGGGCAGGGAGATGCACGATTTTCCCGGGGCTGAATCTTGGTGTTTCTGAGCTTTATTGGGCTGAATGTTGGTGCTTTGTTTTTTTGTGGGGGCTGAATCTTTCTGTTTTGGGAGGATATCAGCTTTTTGGTGTTTTGGAAGTTTTTGATCTCTTTTGATGTTTGGAGGATGTTGGTGCTGAATCTTGGTGTCCTGGAGGTTCTTTCAGACACAAGATGCCCATTGACTTCCTGAGAGCACCTTGGGCAAGGAGGTACCCCCAGCCCAAAGTGCTCTCCTCTTGTTTTTTCCTCCAAACCAGGATTTTTCATTCCTAAGCAGTGGCTGGATGGAGGAGGTGGAAAAGCCCTGGAGAAGCCGCATGAGAAGGGTCTGCAAACCCAGCCCAGGGAGCTGCGAGGAGGAAAGATCCCGCCTATGCCAGGAACATGGCCAGAGATCCAGCCAGAGCTCAGAGCTGGGGGAGAAGCCCCTGGTGGGGAGAAGCCCTGCAACTGCTTGGAATGTGGGAAGGGTTTCAGGTACAGGTGCGAGCTGATCCAGGACCAGGTGATTCACACTGGGGAAAAGCCCTACAAGTGTGGGGAATGTGGGATGAGCTTCAGCTACATCTCCTACCTGAGGGAACACCAGAGGATCCACACTGGGGAAAAGCCCTACGAGTGTGGAAAATGTGGGAAGTGCTTCAGCAAGAGGTCCAACCTGAGGGCACACCAGGTGATCCACACAGGGGAACGGCCCTACACCTGCTTGGAATGTGGGAAAAGCTTTGGGTGGAGCTCTGACCTGAGAAAACACCAGCTCATCCACACTGGGGAGAGGCCCTACGAGTATCCCGAGTGTGGGAAGAGGTTTCAGCGCAGCTCCACTGTCATCAGACATGAGCGGATTCACACAGACGAGAGGCCCTTCCGCTGCCCCGACTGCGGGAAGAGCTTCAACCGCAACTCCACCCTCACTCTCCACCGGCGCATCCACACTGGGGAGAGGCCCTACGAGTGTCCCCAGTGTGGGAAGAGCTTCTCACAGAGCTCTCACTTGACCCAACACCAACGGAGGCACCAGTAAGGGAAGCCCTGCGAGTGCCCCGAGTGCGGGAAGAGCTTCGTGCGCTGCTCCAGCTCCATCCCCCATGGGAGGATGGGCATTGGATGATCCCCAGTGACCCCCGTTGGGCAGAGCCCTGGTGATCCGTGGTCCTGGTGATGCGTGTTGGGAAGACACCTGGCTGGGAGGCTCCACATCTTCCTGGCTCCCTGTGGGCGCCTGGATGAAAGCAGGGGAATGAAAATCCATCAGGACACAGACCAACAATAGGAATTCCTTGAGGAGACTGGATTTGTTGACTTTCAATCCTAGAGAACCTTTTGTCGCTGCCTCAGGAGCTCTGTTGGCAGAGAAAAGGGGGTGACACCGGGCATGGGGGCCCAGAGGGAACACACATGCTCTGGGGGGGGGGAAATCCAAACTTAGGGACCCCGTCTCACATTCTTGCTCAGGTAGATGCTGAGCCCCAGAACCAGGAAGACGAAACCCAACATGGAGACTCCAATCTCCGTCAGCATCTTACTGCAGGTGGCATTTCATGGCGTCCCTGGGGCAACTGCAGAGGGCAGGACCCCCAAAACCTCTCACAGACCCCACAGGTACCTCAAAGGACCCTCTCAGTCTCCCCCAGCCTGCCCAGGACCCTCTGGAACCTCCTTTGGACTAACTAATTTTAAAAAATCAGGTATTTTAGAAAATTTGGAGATGTCAGCTAGAGACAGGCCTTGCTGGAACTAGTTAGAGTTAATGATGAAGTGAGAAGCAGGATTTGAGATAATGAATCTCAGACTTAGGTAAAAAATTACTTGTCATTGTATGTTTGTTTAGATGTGCTTATAATGAGAAAAGAGAAACTGATAAACGGGTTCAGGAAGATCACAGACCTTACATCTGGAAACCCATTTCAAAGTCACAAGGGAGGAAACTGGAGTTGTACCAAATGTCATTTGTAATGTCAACCATTGTAAAGGTAGAAAGGTGAGAGTGAGGAAGAGCCGTTTTCCTTCATCTCTTGATGACCCCTCCTCACCAAAACGACCCCCTCCTCAAATTGGGGAGCCAACCACGCAGTTGTAATGACATTTTAAACTGATTACAGTGCATTTTAATCCAAAGTGGGGAATGGGAAGTGTTAGCATTATGCATATGTATTAGTATTAATAAGTATTAGTATTTTGGATATTCAAGACTTTTGTAAATAAATAGACACTGGAATCTTTTGTCAGCTTGCAGTGCATATTAAGGGGTGACTCCCGCACTCGCCCAGTGCTGTGATTAAACATCCACTGTGTAACTTTAAACTGTTGGAGAGGTTTTTTGTCCATTAACAGATTGATGTTGATACTGGATCAATATTGCTATTTTGGTAAATCACTGCCAGTCTCTTCCCAGCCTCCCCAGGACCCAGCAGAGCCCCTCCTGTTCCTCTCAGGATCCCACAGCCCCCTCCCAATTTCTCCCCACTGCCCCTGGACCCCCAAACCCTCTCCCAGTCCCTTCCCAGCCCCACCAGGACTCATCAAGACTCCTCCCAGTCTCTTCCAGCACAACCAACCTCATCCCAATCCCTGCTTTCCAATGCCCAATCTCCTTCCAGCCCCTCCAGGCTCACTCAAATCCCTCCCAGTGACACCCAGCACCCCCAAACTCCCTCCCAGTGTCCACCAGGACCCCCAGAACCCCATCCCACCCTCTCCAACATTCTTCAAACCCCTTCCCAGCCATCCTAAGCACCTCAATCCCTTCCCCAGTTTAAACCAGTCTGTCTCAAACTCCCTCCCAGTTCCTCCCAGCACAGCCCAATCCC